CGGGGGTGCGCTGAGCGCGGCGGGGGTGATCCGGGTGCCCGCGCACAGGCCGCTAGCGGGAGCGGTGGCCCACCCCCAGCCCTTAGCCACCGGCTTGCCCACTGTGCCCTCGGTACCTGCCGTACCGGGCGTCAACAACCTTACCGGCCTCACCTTTCCCTGGATGGAGAGTAACCGCAGATACACAAAGGACAGGTTCACAGGTGAGTCCGGCCCGCGCGCGCGCGCCGCGCCTGGCCGCGGCTCGGGCTCTGCGCTACCCCTCTCCCGCTTGGTGTGCCCCCCAGTCCCTTCTGAGACCCAGGTGGCTCGGCGCACCTCCGTGCTTCCCCGCCAAGTTCAGCCGCCGGGCTGGCTGTGTGCTCCGAGAATAGCTATGTTCAGAGAGTTCTGGATTCCTCCGTCTCTTCTCCCAGACCCCTGTTCAGAGAAGCGATCCTTGATCTCAAGGGACCTCAGGCCCAGTGAGGCCGAAGGAAGAAGAGGGCTGTAGATTCAGGGCTACCTTCCATGGACATCTGAGGCTTTGTGGGGTTCTCAGAAAAAGCATTGCGATGTGAGCAAAATGTGTTTCTTTTTTTCTTCTATCCCATCCGCCGTTTTCTTATTGAGGTGGAGATGCTCAGAATCAGATACAAGAAAAGAACAGGTTTTCTTACACACACTTGGGCGCCTTAACTCTGATGCCCACAGTCCTACCAGCAACCGCCCAGGTAGAGAAAGAGAGCTCTGAGGTCCTTCTTCCCCGACTGTTGGCTTCCTCTGGGCCGGTAGCAGCACAGGGCTGAGCCGCCCGCCCGGGACAGCTTACTCTATTCAATCTCAGAGTCCTTCCCCCAGAGGCAGCCCAGTTTTCCTGGCATGAGTAATGTACCCCTGGCGGACAACCGATCGGATCGGTGGTTGGGACAACTGCGGGGCTGTAGTGCGCTCGGGGCCGCTGGCTGAGACCCTTTCAGCTCCTTCCCTCGCTGCGGCTTCCTTTGCTCAGGCTTCCCGCTTGCTCCCCAACTCAGCTTCGGCCCAGGCACACATCTTTCCCCGCACCCCTCACTTCGCACTCCCCTGGTTGCTCATCAAATTTGAAATGGCCATACACTCGGCCTTCTAGGCCCCCACACCCGGCAGCATAACTGCTGCTAGCCGAGCTGGGGTTCGCCTCTGTGCCTCAAGAGGTGAGGCAGGTTACAGGCCCTTTCTGGCTAGGATTGGACTCCCACAGCAAGACACACAACTTCCAAAAGGTGCGTGTGTGTGTGTGTGTGTGGTGTGTTCATGTGTGTTCCTGTGTGCATGGGAAGCAAAGCTTAGGACTAGACCAGGCTGGGCAACCCTCAGGTCCTCTGCTCCAGTTCTAGGCAACATGGCCGAGAGACTATGCCTGGAGACTCATCAGGCTCTGGGACCATACTGAAATGAGGCTGGAGCTCAACACAGGCAGAGCGGCTGCTCAAGGTGGACTTCCTGAAAGGGCTTTCTCTCACTTTAGGGGCTCCATGCTCCAACCCAAGTCCTCTCAGGCCTGAGGAGGCAAGATGTGGTGCCTAGATCCATCTCTCCTGCCCAGGCCAGACTACTCTTGACATGCTCTGCCAGATAAATAAATGAAATGAAATAAACACTCCTGGTGCCTGGGGCAGTGTATATGTGTATACATATGTATATATACATATATGTGCATGTGTGCATATATATACCCATATCTATGTATGTGTGTATATATCTCAAAGGTACCTACACAGGGCCTACCCAGAGCTACAGCCAATCCTACTCATGTGTTGGGCCTGAATTAGGTTCTAAGTGAGTGTAAGTGTGTAGCCTTCTTTTGCCTTGTGTCCTGTGTGCTTGTGTTTGTCTAGGTGTGCCTGCCAGCCTGGAGAGTCAGATCTGTAAGTTTGTGTCCATGTGTGTTGTGTAGGTATGGGGCTGTGATAGAGGCTCAGGTCTGGAACCACTCAGGGGCCTTGATTACCCTCTGCCTCTTATTGTTGACCCTCCCTTCAGAGCCTAGGCCCCAAGGCTGTGGTGGTGCAATGGTTAGATGCCTTTCACTGCCCCTTTCCCAGGACGTGGAGAGCTCTGGCAGCTGGGAGGCAGTTAGAAAGCCCAGGGCTAGTGAGACCTCCGCTGTGAGGGCTGTCATGCGGCTGGAGTGGCGTCGGCCTGGCGGGCAGGCGGGAGCTCTTTCTGCTGCAGGCCTTGGAACTGAGGGGCTAAAGGGAGGGATCACGGCCTTGCTTTTGGGGGTGCAGCCCCTGCGAGCTCGTTCATTCGCGGGTAGTCGGGCCTGGGACGCCTCCTGACGCTCTGCCGCTTGCCTCTGCCGTCTGTCTGTCTCCCGCTCCAGTGGCCCTCTCACCCTTCACTGTAACACGCCGTATAGGTCACCCCTATCAGAATCGGACGCCCCCCAAGAAGAAGAAGCCACGCACGTCCTTCACGCGCCTGCAGATCTGTGAGCTGGAGAAGCGTTTCCACCGCCAGAAGTACTTGGCCTCCGCGGAGCGCGCTGCCCTGGCTAAAGCGCTCAAAATGACCGACGCGCAGGTCAAGACGTGGTTCCAGAACCGGCGGACGAAGTGGAGGTGAGCACGCCGGGCCCGCCCGCCCGCCCGCCCACCCTGGGGCACGGTCTCGGGTCGCTCTCCACCGGCCCTCGGTCCGGTGCACACATTCCCTCCGCTGGCTGCTTTCTCGTGGGTTCAAAGGAGCGGGCTTCTGCAAGGTTTTCAGGGAAACCAAAAGCCGTCAAAGCCAATAGTTCGGTGGGGCTGGAGAGGCCGGCTTCAGGGCTTCGTAGAACAGCACGTTGTGTGTAGTGTGCCGGTGTGGATGCCGCTGATCTACGACCCTTGGCCAAACAGGCGTGTTAGGACAATTGTACAATCCGGAGTTCTGGGCGTATTCACTGAATAGTTAAGGGCTTGCTGACTGTGCAAACTCCCTTTCACTGGGGCTAACCCCCTCTCGTCCCTGCACTGCAGACGCAGAATGGCCCGCGCTTTGTTTCTGCGCTCCAGCCGGACTCCTGGCAGACGGTGCCCACCCCCAGGCCCGGGGCTGGTCCCACTACTGCTTCCCCAGGCGCCCGGCCTCTGCGCAGCGGTCCTCCACCCTGCAGGGGCAAAAATCAATCCGCGCCGGCTGTGGCGAGGTTTCTTGGGTCCCACTGAAAGGGGGATCAATTAGGAGCAGATGGGTGTTCTTGAGAGAGACTTTTTCCCTTCTCCTGACACACCCGCAACTACACTTACAACACACTCATTTAAAAAAAACAAGATTCACATAATATACTTCAGCCTCTCTAGTTTTCGTTTACTTCTTTTTTTTTCCCTGCCCTCCCAAACATTAAGGATCCCACACACTTGTTCCAGTCTTAGTCTCTATACAAACTGGCACTTTTTTTTTTTAAGTACACCTTCTCGCACCCCTGCGTGTGCCGTCTACTCTATATGTAGCCCGTACTCTGGTGTCACACACAAGCAGTAAGGACTTTCTCCCTCACCCAGGCCCCTGGTAGGGGAAGCGCTAAAGTCTGGACAAAGTCAGAGGCGCCGAGCAGGGCGGGCCTGGGGCTGGAGGAAGGAATTGGAGTTTCCTCTTTTTCTGAGTGAAGGCAAGGAATCTGCCTGGGATTCCGCCTTGGGGGCCACAAAGGAAACCAGGCCTGAGAGTCTACGGGCCCCCTCCCCAACATTCCTATGGCTGGGGAAGGGGTGGGGAATGCAACAGCTTTGGGGGGCCCCTAGAAAAAAATAGTAAAAGAGGGAGCGTAGGCTTGCTGGGAGGGGTCGCTGGTATTTTCAAAGCCTACTACGGGTTGCAGCCTAGGGGAGGGGAGGAACCCCCACAGGACCTCCACCTCTAAGCTGCCGAAGAGAAACTGAAACACAAAGGGGCAGGACAAAGATTCCCCTTCTTGGAGGAGGGGAAAGGAGGAAAAACAGGTAGACTGGAGAAATCTTATGCATAATAAAAGACAAGATTGGATGGTTCAAACCACCGTTTTCCTTTCAAATACTTTCCCTTAATTAATAGAGAAGGGAGGTGGAGAAAAGGAGAGCTGAGACTGGGAGCTTGAAGTTAAGAGAACCATTCAGGGGCAGCGTGAGGTGCCAGGCACCGAGGGAAGATGAGATGTAGAGACACACAAGAGGGGGGCCTGCCGATAGGCGAGCAGAACAGAGCAGAGCAGGCAGGCGGCAGCCGCTGGAAGAGGCCCTCCCAGGATTTGCACGGCTTCATCGATCGCCTACAAATTGCTTCTGGAGGCCCCGGGGACTCCCATTAGATCTGTCCACCTTAGAGACAGACGTTTGATCTCAATTGACAGGGTGGAGGGGCTGCATTAAATGGAATAAGTGAGTCATCGCCTCCCAAGACGGCCTTAGAGGAAGCTGGTGGGTCTGGAGAGAGCCCCATTGGGGCACAGGCTTGGCTCTAGAGATCTGAGGCCTGGGAGAGATTCCCAGAGAGAAAGGCGATATATCTGCTGACCCTAGCTTCTGTGCCCTAGGCTTGGGGCAGCATCTATCCAATCTCCATCCAGGCTGAGGAGAGGTGGCAGGTCAGCCTAAGCTCCCAGCAGCGCTACTGGGTAGGGGTGGTGGCCAGGTAATTTGGGCCTGGTGAGTTTTTCCCATTGCTCCTCTGGGATACTTACTTCATTTTTGAGGTCTCCTATCTTTGTCCAAATCAAGTTCCCCAGGAGGAGGGAATGAGTTAAAGGGTCCACACTGGACCTAAGGCTGCAGAAAGCAGCCAGTGTTCCTATGTGGAGGCAATCTGCCTGGAGCATGCGCGGGAGCCGGGTTGGTGTCCTGGCGGGTAACAGCTTGTTCCCGGTGCAGGCGACAGACTGCGGAGGAGCGTGAGGCTGAGAGGCAGCAGGCGAATCGCATCCTTCTACAGCTACAGCAAGAGGCCTTCCAGAAGAGCCTGGCGCAGCCGCTGCCCGCGGACCCACTGTGCGTACACAACTCCTCACTCTTTGCCCTGCAGAATCTGCAGCCATGGTCTGATGACTCCACCAAAATCACCAGCGTTACATCGGTGGCATCTGCCTGCGAGTAAGCCGACCTGTGTCGTCATCCTGCAGGACCCCAGGCCTGGTGAGGGGCTACTGAGGCCTGGAAACCAGGCCTCTCCCCTCCTCTCCCAACTGCCTCGAGCTGAGGCCTCAAGGGGGATGGAAACATTGTCGATGCCCCCACCATGCTCTGCGGACATTGTTCTGTTTTCCATGGAAAAGGAGAAAGGCGCACTGGCACACTGGGGACTGCGGTACTTGACCCCTTCCCAGAAGCCTATGTGGTGCCACATCCACCAGAACTGTTCAGAGTCCTCTCGGTTTCCTCGATTTCATTTTATTTTGATTTTAACATGGGACCCAGAGAGAGACCAGGGAGGTGGGGGGGAGGGTAGAAGAGCTTCTGGGATCCCCAGGGATGCCATCTAAACTTTTTCTGGGAAACTCCACTCTATTCCTGCTCCTCGTTATACACATGGACACCGGTAAGACCACACAGAGGTGATGGTTCTGTCCCTTCAGACCATTCCCAGGGCTGTGCACAAGGACCCAGGGCAGAATGGCACACACCTCACCATTAAACACAGGCCAAGGGTGATCCAGATTCATTCTGAACAGCATGGCCTGCCCCCTACTCACAAAGGCCAAGGCCACACTGTGACACACCATCCCACACACAACAGCCTCACTTGGTCTGCTAGGCTCACACCATGCATCCCAGCCATATCCAGATACACACAGCCAGGTTTCCACACAAACTCAACTCGTGTCTCCAAATCCTGTTTGTAGGGAGAGTTTAAGTTATGCACTTATAAGGTGTTTTCTGTGTAACCATTTTATAAAGTGCTTGTGTAATTTATGTGGAAAAAAAATAAAACTCTCCAGATCTGGAGTCAGGGCTGTCTGCTCCTCACTGAGCCCAACGTCTTGTGGGTACTTGCATTTATTATAAGTTGTAGAGTTTCCGGAGCAGCCTTGGTTACCTGAGCTGGAGGGGCAAATGGGTAGGCAGGGCCTGTGGACTCTGGAGGGGAAAAAAGAGAAGACAGGCGGAAAGAAGGCAGAGCTGTGGAAAGGCAGGATCTCCTGGGATTGCTAGTGTTTGAAGGCTTGTGGATGGATGTTGTTGGCTGTGAGAGTTATGTATGTGTATGTATGTTTATGGTAGTGTGAATAATTGAAATATTACTGATGGTGGACATTTGTAATAATGTTTAAGTGTGTACTTATGTTTACAATTCTTACTTATAAATGATTGTTTCTGCTTAAATTGCAAATTGAAAGTATCACCGGGCACTGGTGACTCAGGGCTCACATCTGTAATCCTAGCTACTCAGGAGGCTGAAATCTGAGGATCTTGGTTCTGAAGCCAGCCTAGGCAAGAAAGTCTGTGTGACTCTTATTTCCAATTAATCATTAAAAAAATAAAAGCTGGAAGTGGAGCTATGGCTATAGTGGTAGACTTCTAGCCTTGAGCACAGAAGCTCAGGAACAGTGCCCAGGCCTTGAGTTCAAGCCCAAGGACTAGCACCAAAAAGAATCATTGCGTGCATAGGTTTGCAGCAGGCTCTGTGTGTGTGTGTGTGTGTGTGTGTGTGTGTGTGTAAAACCATGCATAAATGTGGGAAATTTGTGCTATCACAATTGGGGAAAATTGTGTTATCCTTTTGTGATTGTATAGGTATTGTATTAATGTTTATGAGAGTAGATATTTTCTCTGTTACATGTGCAGATGTGATTGCATATCATCTTTGTGTATGAGATGTAATCATGTGAGCCATGTGTTTTAACCATCATATTTTACTTGATACACTATGTAATTGTGAGAGTGAATGTGGTAGGCAATATGGATCATTGTGGGAAAATGTCCCTTTGGTAAGTGTGTGTGGTTGTGAGTTGATATACGCTAGCACTGATGACCTACAGTCCTTTGGGAATCTAAGGTGGTTCCTCACATTGTGAAGGACCAGCCTCTTCTATGAATTCTGGGACTCTATCCTTCCCAGTAAGCAGCACAGAATAGGTATACATAATTAAGAATTAGAGCCAGAATTGTCTCTGGTATTCTAAGTAGGACTCTGAGACTCCCACCATCATCTCATCTTGGCTTATACAAAATACACAGAAGTGACTTCCTGGAGGAGTGCCCCCCCCATACTACTTTGATCAGAGGCACAGTACCCACTCTCCAGAACATTCAGTCCTGACCCACCTGACCAATTGCAGACAATCAATTGATCTGGGCCTGCTTTTCTGGGAGAAGCTGGGTGGTGGTAGGTCTGGGGAGCTCACTAGACCAGGAAATAGTGAAAGTAGGGAAATAGGAACCTTGGTCTTTGCTATAGGAGAATAAAAGAGCTTTGCAGCTAGAGAGCAGAAATGAGTGTGGGGTCTGTGCAGGCTTACACAACTGTGTATTTTGTGTGTGGTGTGTGTGTGTGTGGATAGCCTCTAAAACCATTCAAGCCACCACAGCCACAGAGGGCTATATTACAGGGATAAATTGTAGCAGCCTTCCACTCAAGGAAGCACAGGGGGAAATCTGGTGAGAGGAACTGAAGACTTGCTCATCTATCCCCTCACTTTTGGGTCTCTTGGAGCTGAAAAAAAAGAGGGTTCTGAATCTAAAACATTCGGAGAAGGGCTTTCCTGTTCACCATAGTGTTCAAGACCGACCCCACCGATAAGCTGTGTTAAACTTGGGGAGAAGAAGGGTCTCCCACATTCACCGGAGTAAGCGCCCAGCATTAAGCAGAGCGAAAGCAGAAAATGATCTAGAAGCCGCAGGATCCTTTCACCTGGGCCAAATCTGGCTGCCCCTTTGCACCAGTGGGGACTGGAAGAGCCCAGGCCTCTTTATGGGCTGCGTTTTCCTTCCTCCATTACCTGTGTCCCCGATGCACTAACCCAGGGCTAACAAACCAGGGGGGTACACTGAGACCACCCTCAAGAGGCTTCCGTGTGTGGAGGCACCAGGGTATTTTCTGACTGTTGGAGTGATTCGGCAGGGAGCCGCCGTGGCCTCAAACACAACAGCCCCGAAGTGGATCCAAAGCCCAGACTTTTCCGCTTCCCTTACAAAGAAAGCGAAATTGGGTAACCCCCGCCGCTCCCCCTGCCACGATCGATCTCTCCTGTGATCGTCAACCTCGCCAGTCAGTAAACTCAGGGCTGGAACCCCTCAACCCTACTTGCTCTCGGACCCTGCCCAATTTGTCCAGTACTGGCGCAAAAGTGGGCGTTCCTCGTACAGGGTCCTCCTGGGGTCCAGATGCCAGGGTCCAGACAGCCTTCACTCGGTCACCACCTGCCTGCGCCCGGGCGCTCTCCGACTCCTGGGCCCGGGTCGCGCGCTCTTCCCGGGCCCCTCTTGATTTTCCTAGGCCCCGGGCGAGGTTTCCCAGAGATGCCAAACTCCCTGAGGCGTTGAGATCCTTGGCGTTGAGGGTCTGTGCAAGACTCCTCGATGTCCGCCAGGAATTCGTTGGGATGGAATCTCAGCGAATCCCGCTTCCGCCGAGCGCGCGCCGGTTAAGCCCTGGAGGAGCAGCGGCGCGCACACGGTGCCCAGACCGGCGGAGGCCGCTGGAATGCCCAACGAGCGCACGGGGCTTCAGGGTCACAGTCAAGGCCAAACAACCGCACCGAGTAGAAAGCTGGAAGATCCCGGCTGCTCACTAGAAATGGTCGGTCTTCGATGGAAAAGAGATAAGAAATAACTCATCTGAATAGATGTGTGCAGAAGGGCTGGGAAAGGAAAAGAAGATGAACAAACCTGTCTGGGCAGAAAGGCTGTTTCCTTCCTTGGCTTGAATGATCAGATTGCATTGACCCACCTCCGGGCCACGGGTGATCATAGGCTCGGCCCTGGTTCAGTCCAGCACTGGAGGCTGAGTGGATGGATGGCAGCCTGTGGTTCTAGAACCTAGGTAGGACTTGGGGTCTCAGGGGCTCCTTTGCAGTGCAGTGCGTGGCAAACTGAGAATCTGACGCAACCTGTTAACTATAATAGAGGCTTTGTGTGCTTGGGGCTGGGTGGGTACTCCCACCCACTGACTGCCCCGTGGCGCCCCCAATCAGGTGGCAGGAATAGAGTTTGCTCTTGTCCCAGGATTCATGTGGGTGCCCCGTTTGTAAACTGATTTGCAGGTGGGCAAGGTAGGTTGGAGGCATGTGAAACAATTAAGCAGGTGCCTTCCTCCAGACTGTTTACAGCTGGAGCCTTTGGGTTCCGGCAGCCATGCTGTGGACTGTTGGGAGATTGTAGCCCCAAGTCTGTTCTGAACGGCCCGAAGCACAGACACTGCAGGAAGTCCACCCCCCCCCAAGCTTTGTTCTTCCAGATCCCCACATATCCACTTTTACCTATATCTTACGCTCCATAGGACTCCCCCTTCCCCAGTCCGGTTCCCTCCCAGAGCTTTTATGCAGCCCGTTGCCGCCTAAGTACCCCTCTCCTCCATCAGCTGTGAGTTTTGAGTCCCACAGCCAGGCCAGGCCCCTACACCTGGCAGGAGCTTGGCTTGGAATGACTTTGTCCAAGGCCTCCAGGCTCCGATCGAGCCCTGGCCTGGTTGGCCCGGGGAGGCCTCTTTGGTACCGCCCACTTGCACCTTCCTCTGGATTTCCGTCCAGGGAAATCCAATCTAAGCAGGCTGAAAGTAGGCTGGAGCCAGATCGGGTTTTCCAAAGAGCCGAGAGCAGATTGGGAAAATGGTGTCGGCAAGGGTGTGT